CATGAGAGGTGTACTTACAATTCGACCTTTATCCGAATATACAGCTAATAAATTTACTAGAGACACTAGAATATGATACTTGTTTGTTACTACGTATGTTGTAGTTTTTAATAGTCCTACATCGCATAAAAAAATAACTATATGTGGCTCTAATATGCCAGGATATATTGATGGAATGTCACGATGAATAGTGCCTTCTATGCTATCCGTCGAATCTTTTAGTATAACAAATGGATTGTCATGACTATAGTCTACATAATCCAATACACCTGCTATAAATTTAATTTTCATACTATCACAATGATTAGCGTTTGCTTTCTCTTTAATAGTAGAAATCTTATAATCCTGTAAAAAATTATTTGGCAGATCATTCAACAAAAGTGTCCAAGCATTTTCTCCACACAAGTTTTTTTCATTTTGGGACTTAATCTCAATACGCTTGGTTGAAAACGTTTTAATTTCCAATTCTTCAATACTACTTAAATAAGATGCAGCAGAGATGTTATCATTTTCCACATCCGATACTAAGCCAGCTGGCCCAGGAAATAATCTAATCAATTTTACTTCTTTATCAAGTCTCACTTTAGTCACAGACTCGTCGCTTTTATCTCTTGACTCGTTATATTGGAACACTTTTGACATTTTTTTTGGAACCATTTCAGATTGAAAACATTGCGTTTCTTTCTGTGTTCTTGATGAATCTTTCTCTATACTTTTTGCAAGATTAGATGTCTCTTGAGAAGTATTTTTCTGGAAAATTCCTAATAACAGATCTCCTCGTGATACATCATTGTTCTTATTTTTGGACGAAAGATCATTATCTTGGGTATTTGCTATAGTATCCAATGTTGATTTCTGAATAAGTAAGGTATTATGTGCTGACAATACCTCACAACTGTCCACTTTACGCCGTTTGACGGGCGGTGTTTTATCCTTGTTTTGACATGAAGAGTAGGATTTCTTCTTCGTTTCCTCCTCGTTTCCTCCAACATCGTCAAAAGTATCCTACAATAGTACATGAGAAATGCATTAATTTCATCGTTTTACAAATAAATAATGAGAGATACTCTACCGGTTGTCTGCCCGTGCGTTGATAACAAAGTACGAAAAATACATTAAACGAATTAATCAGATAAGCTATAATATAATCATATAACTAAAAGACTCACTTCAAAAATCCACTCGTCACTTTCGAACATAATTTAGAAGAAAATTCCACTAATCTGGAAATAATTTAATATCGTCCGCGCAGTAAACAAAAAATCTGTGGCATATGTATGTATATATGTATGTATGTATGTATGTATGTATGTATGTATATATACTTGTATACATACAAGTTTCCCAATTGCAAGTGAAAATTTTTATCATTGAAGTTAATGGAGAAATTTTTCACTTTTTACTTTTCATCCTAGGAATATATATATATATACTTGTATACATACAAGTTTCCCAATTGCAAAGAGAAACTTGAGAAATCTGGATATCGATCATGAAACTTTTTCCCTAGGATGAAAAGTGAAAATTTTTATCATTGAAGTTAATGGAGAAATTTTTCACTTTTTACTTTTCATCCTAGGGATAAAGTTTCATGATCGATACCCTGGGTGTCAATCACGTAATTTTTTCTCTAGGGTGGAAACGTGAAAAGTGAAAACTTTTATGAATGTATGTATGAACATATACACACATACATGCAAAAAATTTTCACTTTCACGTTTCCGCCCTAGGGGAAAAAGTATGTGATTGACCCCAAGTCATGAGAAAGAATATGCATTTTCACGAGTTGCTCAATGGCTACAGCACACACTTTTGTATGACGCATAAGAGAATCAACCAATCAAAATGCTTCTCTTTCGTGAAGTGGGAGGAAAAAAAGGATTATGATTTGTTGATTTCCATGTATTATGCGTTTTGCCAGAGAAAAACCTGAGAGCGGCCATGGCGGCATTTTTCTTGTAATGCTTTACACTAGCGGCATCAACGTCCATTTTCAAGCTGCGGGAACTACGTACCACGAGAGCGAGCGAGACAGCGAGTCAAACCGTATTGGGCCTTCTACAATAAGCCGTAAGTCACAAATCATAAGTCATAAGCTAGAAATGCACCAATCACAGTCGTCAATTTTTAGTTTCTTCCGATTTATGACTTATGGCTTATTGTAGAAGGCCCATATCAAATTAAAGGCCATCACACGTATACGAAAATTTTAGTAGTATCGTAAGGTCTTAAGCAAATCGACCAATCACAATCAGATTAAGATCTCACATTTTAATACGCTAAACTGTGATTGGCCGATTTGCTGAAGACCTTATGATTGCTACTAAAATTTTTATACATGGGATGGCCTTAAGGCGCGTTCAGCGGACTCATCATTGAGTGAGCGCTCGCTATTATTGGTGTTCTTTTAGATCATCCAATTAGAATTTTAGATCTGGAAGGATACACCAATAACAGCGAGCGCTCACTCAACTGTTGAGTCCATTGAGCGTATTCAGCAGAAAAGAGCGCTACTAGAGCGCTCGCTGTTATTGGGTGCATCCAGAAGCACGACCGCTCACTAAGCGCTCAATGAGCTTTTTTATCTGATTGGCATATTCTATTAGATCTAAATATGTAAACCAAACAGGTACAAGAGCTCACTGAGCGCTCAATGAGCGGGCGTGCTTCTGGATGCACCTATTGATATATTCTTCCAGATTTAAAATTCTGATTGGATGGTCTAGAAGAATACACCAACAACAGCGAGCGCTCTAGTAGCGCTCTTTTCTGCTGAACGCACCCATTGTATCAGCTCCTACGATCCCCAACACACACTTTTGCATAACGCATAAAGCGTGTGCATAAGGAATTTCATTGGCCCATTTTCTTATGCATGAGTCAATGGACCAATCAAATTCTTTATGTATATGGTTTATGCGTTATGCGAAAGTTGTGCTCCCCGCTTACGCCATATTCTAATTGAGACAATTTGATTGGCTGACGCAAGTTGCGCTTACGCAAGTTACGCTGCATGTAAAAGCAGCCTGAGAAGTATGTACTACAATGGAGTGTCTCAAATCAAACACTATTTTCGTTATATTAATTTGGAGTTTTGCGATTTCACCGGTAATATCTATGTGTTTCGCATTGTGTAATTCTATGTCTTTCGTTATCATTTTCTCATATTTTATCGATATCACAAACATTTGTAAAAACGTTACGTTTGTATTAAAAAAAAAAGAAAGGTAATTATTTAGAATACCCCCCCCCCCCCCGCACCTAAAATCTTAATAAAAATACTCTCGTTTGACGCGTTTTCACTCAAAATGATAGAATCTGACACAAAACAATGCGGTGATCAGTCTCGTGAATTGAGATATTAAGTGTTAAAGTTCGAGATTTTAGAGGTTAAGATATCTGTCATTCAACAATTCTCTGCTTTAAAAACACAAATTCACTGCTAATGCGAAGAATTTTCGTATTTAAAGCAATAATTGATTTAAAGCAGTGATTTGTCGTTTTTAAATCACTGTGTGAATTGTCGTTTTTAAAATAGTAAATTTTGTTTTTAAAACAGTGAATTTTTTGTATTGAATAGATATTCTTACATATACATAAGTATCATAACGAGTCGAAATGACTGATATCTTGACTTATAAAATCTCGAATTTTAACACTTAATATCTCTATTTACGAGACCAATCGTTGCATTTTATTGCTAGATTCTTTTATTTTTTTCGAGTGAAGACGCGTTGAATAAATGTATTTTTAAGATTTTAGGTGCAGGGTGGCTATTCTAAATTAAAAAATTACCAAAAGAGTATTATTTCATTAATATTATATATTTATTATTTATCGATGTTAATATCGATAAAATTAATATTACATCAAAATCTTTACATTTCAATTTGTAATTTTTTTATCTATATATTTATTATCTATACATGGAGAGAATTTTCTCTTAAAATATGATAGGAATAGGACATTGTATTTCGAAGAATTTTTCGTAAATTTTCCTTTCTTAAGCGGGGAGCACAGACTTTTGCATAACGCATAAACCATATACATAAAGAATTTGATTGGTCCATTGACTCATGCATAAGAAAATGGACCAATGAAGTTCATTATGCACATGCTTTATGCGTTATGCAAAAGTCTGTGCTCCCCGCTTTATTCATTAATAAAACCAACAATAGAGTATAAAATAAGTTTGATTAATTTTACTGAAATGTGTGCGTAGTAAAAACCTTTAAAATACTTTGTATCCCAACTGCTATATTTTTAGGATAAATTTTAAGTGAAAAATATTTCCATGATATATACATGTACATACTTTGTTTCCTATATATTATTTTCAGACTACTGCACATTACTGCGTATGGGGCTTATGTGAATCATCAGAGTATTGTTGTGACGAAAATGTATGTTGCAGTTATGAAGGCTATGATATATGGATTACTATGTAAATATGTAGCATAGTACATTTATATTTAGAAAATGTATTGTACTTTAGATGTATTAAAATCAGTATAATGAAATTTTAATAGGATAATCATAGCTGGAGTTGTAATTGGAATGATAATGGCTGGTACATGTCTTTATTACAATTTATGTCGTATCTATCTTTGTCTACAACAGAGATACTATGGCAACAATTCTGTGTCGATGCCATCAGAATTTGATTCTGATGGGAAATCAATAGAAATATCATTTCACGAGTAAATAAAAAATGATTTTTTGAAAGACTAGATATATAATATTCCATCTTTCAGTATATGAGTAATATATCCTACAGATAAAACATCATATACTCCTAATAATTTATTCCTTATGTTAAAAAAATATGTACATATATGTATGTATAGAAGAAATTACGTTTGTATTCTATGTATTTACTCATTAAGTAATTATATTCAGTTTATGTTTTTCTTGTAATTTTTTACTCACTGCTCATGTTACACAGTTTAAAATTTGTATACAATTTTATTGAATAAAACTATATAGAGGAAAAATAAACGTTAATCTATATCATCTATACTGTATTTCCATTCGAGTATTCTGTTACTAATTTTAAAGGCATTCCAATTATCGTCAATCTTTGATGTCCGAAATTTAACATGTACAGCCTCACAAATCTCCTTTATATCTTCGGGTATAAAGAAATCAGAAAGTTGTGGTACTATATCTTTTTGCCGTGGTTCTGGATCTTTAGTTCGTGTAACAATGGATGGTAATTGTCTTTCATCGATACTCAAATCTACTAAATTTTTGTAAATTGTCTCATCCAATGGAAAATCAAGTGCTGCAGAAATCTGTAACAAAAAGAATGGTTTCAAATAAATAAATGTGTCTGAATGTGTGTGTGTGTATGTACGTGTAATCTTTATTTTACCTTTCCATTTAGAAAACTCTTTAGTGCAAATGGCAAATGATTGATGTCTACAACAATTTTCCGCTGTTCAAGTTCTTTCAGCTTATTAACAGTATACATGATAGAATTGTATTCTGGTTGCACTAAATTTTCTACTGTACTAACATCCATTCCAACGATACATCTTTCATTTCCATCACTTATTTTTGTATCAACCTGTTCTTTACGAAAAACTGATCCCACAGATGTTTCGATTTTAGGACCTGATACATTACGCGATATAATTTTTTTAACTGGAGATATTTTATTTCTTGTCATAATTTTGTACTGTGGAAAAATAGATTTTGTATTAAGAATTCTGCCATCGATCGTTGAATTTGTTTTTTTTATGTTTGACACAGATTGCGGCTTTGTCATTTTTGATGCTTTAAAATCTTGAATATTTTCTTTTGGCATATGAATATTATTCGTAGGAAATTTAAATTTCTCTCGGGTAATCGATTGTTGAAAGTTTCTTGTTGTCGTATTGCTCACATTTTTATTAGATATAGACTTTTTCAATTTATTTTCTTTACCATTCTGTTGTATACTCTTTGTGCTGTCTTTTAAAACGTCATCTTGTAAACTTTTGTTCTGTCGCTGCAACATTTTACTACTACCATTCCTTGTTCTCTTAATACTATTTGCATCACGTAAAATCATTTTACTCTCAACTTTCGGCATATTTTTATCGGACAAAGATACATTTTGGACATTGCCAGATGTAGTGCAATTAAATGATACAGTGTCGATATTACAATTACTTGAAAATGTATTTCTGTCACAAACACTTGCAAAATGTATAGGATCTACAATTCTGATGGGTTTCTCGAGAGTCACGATTTCCTTGATTCTTAGACCACTTGTTTGCCGACCAGATTGTTGTTTACAATTTTTAACGATCTCTGTCTTGTTTTGTATATTGTCAGAAAATTGACAGAATCTAACTTTCGGTCTCGAAATTACATTAATATTATCTGTCATAGCAAGAGAACGTTTCAAAGTTCAATATGTATAGTCCAATAATTCTTCTTCTTCGAAATTTAATTAGCTCTAGTCCTTTTGAACGAGGTAAACACGACCAGCAGACAATACCAAGCACAGTCAAAGTGTCAAAGCCGACACCACTTATGCCTAAAAAATGAAACCACAAAACTTCATGGCGTAGCCCGAGCGAACACTGGGCGCCTGCGTCTACGACGTCATTGGGTCTGTTTTTTGTTCCGTTCCACACTATCTGAACTAGTGCACACGGTGCAATAAGTTGAAGTGAAACAAATGTATGTTTATTTCATTTTAACTTATTGCACCGTGTGCACTAGTTCAGACCATGGTGGAAATATAGAAGGTGAGTCGTTCCCGTGGATGCGCAGTAGCCTAAAAGTAGTGGGGAGCAGACAATCATAAATGACCCATTTGACATAAATCCAATATGGCTGTGTGACTGGAGCATAGCGTATGTTATTACGACTATAATTGTGTAGAGAAAGAAGAAGAAAATTATTGTGTAAGTAATAAACGAATTATATGAAGGTTTTGTTCAGAATATGTAATGTATATAATATAATATGCAATATAATAATAGAGGTTAGTAGATACAATATGTAATAAGTATATATTTTTCATATATAATATTGTATAATAAACATCAAGAACTGTAGAAATCGCAGTTCTTGTGTATTTAGTAACAATTTAATGTTTTATACATTTCCAAAAGATACCGATTTGTGTCGAAAATGGCTCAAGGCTTGTGGCATAAATGTCAATACTCAGATTAAACATGGTATGAATGTGTACATATAACAATTTAAAATTATACATGTCATTAGCGTATTTTTTATTACAATAATTGTAACAAAATGTACCTTCAGAATGGGTATGCGAAGTGCATTTCAAAACAGAATACATAGAAAGGCAACTGACGAAGCCACGGTCAAATTCCGCGCGTGCACAATGGGTCATAAGTGATTGGCTGACTACATATGTCCCCCACTCTTTGCCGCCAAAGTGGACGAAAGAAGCGAATATATTCGTTTCCACAATCTTGCATCAATGAATCACAAAAAAAATTAATTTGGTAAGAATAAAAAATCATTCACATAATGTGTCATTCATAATGCAATATTACTGAAATGAAGAAAGTGAGTTCAGAAAAATATAATTTTTTTACGATATATTTATTTGTCATTACAATATTGCTGTTATATTATCATTATTCCATTAATAAATTTTACTTTATTTTACTGATCTATATGACATTTGCAGTACTGGCGTTCCAACCTATGCTGAACTCGTCGTGTACAGCAAGGATACTGTAGACGCATCAGACAACGTACAAGAAGAAAACATGGACTTGACTGTAGATGTATCAGACAACATACAAGAAGAAAACATGGACTTGACTGTAGATGCATTAGACAACGTACAAGAAGAAAATATGGACTTGACTGAAGGGTACATATTCTTGTTAATGTCAACATTGTCTTCCATAATTCTGAATATTGGACACTTTTAATTGCACAGTAACCCATATAATACTCCATACTATTTGTAATACGTATTATAATTTATTTTGTTAATCATTTTATTATTTATATTATGTTTTTCAGAAATGGACGAGAAGTTGAAGATTCAAACTCGTCGATTGTTGACATGCTCTTAGCGCGCCTGAAAGAAGTAGAAGAGGAAAATACTAAATTAAAAGTACGGTTGCGTCAGAAGTGTATAGCAATGGACTGCATGAAGAAGGACATACAAAAATATAAAAACTTTGCGACTAACATTCTTTGCAAAGTGTTCACACCTGGACAAGTGAAGAAAATTATGTCTCCAATAAATCGTCGAAGTCTAAAACATATAGTAATGCTGTACAAAGAGATAAGGCTTGGGAATCTGTAGCATCACTTTTGTCAGTTCAAATGACAGGTAAAAATGAAAACTTCATAATTTAATATATAACTTTCAGTTGTTAATTTTGATGCTGAAATATAAATTGTTTAGGATCTGAAGCAGCAAAAAGATTTCGCACACTGCGAACAATATTTGGTCGCCACTTTAAAAAAGTAAGATGTTCTCAACCGAGATCTGGTGCTAGGTCAAACTGGTGCATTTATCAGCCGTCTTGGCCGCTTTATGAAGAATTGCTTTTTTTGGCTGACGTTATAAAACCACGAAAGTAAATATATTCAGACCATGGCTGCGTTCCATTTCAGGCATATATGCGCATATTTTATAAGTGAGCGTCAATGTTTGAAACAATCTACGAATCATCCCCGAAAGCAAGTGGACCTGACGAGGAAGGATTGTACCAAGCATAAGATACTACTGTATTGACTACATTGACAGAAATGGAAAGACCACGAGCAATACTTTCATAACTAGACATGTAATTCACATCGAAAGAAATGAAACGTGATATATTTGATATTCATGCTTGCGATTTAATCAAAGACTAATCTTTATATGATATAATTTTTGTATCAATTATTTTTATTATTTTTACAAGATCCGAGATAAACATCATGGCCCGTATTCAGAGAACGCGCTAACAAAACGATGTCGGCGCGCTAACATGCTACAGTTTACGTCACGTATACTATAGAATTTCAGAGATAAAAAAGCGCGCTTTTATCGATAAAAGTGCGTTCTGAATACGGGCCCATTTTGTATAACATCTATAATAATATTCGTAAGGAATATATACTTATTGCTGAAATATACGACAATACAATGGATATTTTATTACACATTGCGATATATACAGGGTGTTCGATAAACATCATAACGCTTAAATAATAAGGTAGATACCTGCGATCATGTTGAGACGAAAATGTCGACTAGATTTGAATAGTTTTCATTTTAATTGTGAGTATTGGAAGTTAGCGAAGAATGTCGCCAAAAATTCGCACCTAAACGCGCGAACTTTAGGCGCGGGGTATTCTTCGCTAAAATTTATTTAAGTCTTATTACATTCTTGACATTTTGGTATTAGAATTTTTGTCTTAAAATGCTCTCAGAAATCTATTCTCTTAGAAAATCTATCCTTAAGTGTTATTATGGTCTTTACCAAATACCTTGTGTGTGCATGTGTATTTTATACACATAGGGTGTCCCGAAATTAAGTTCAAAACATTGCCATTGTGTACGCACTTACATACCTTATTAAGTTAAACTTTGAAAGTTTACGAAAGGTAGAGCATTCAACCACACGCAAGATAGATAATGATAGCGAATATATATGTCATATAATTTAATTAAATCTTTCGTTACATAATACACCAAACGTTTCGGCCTTAAATGTGGCCATCATCAGTGGTTGCGTACAATTCAACCATGATACAAATATAAATCTACAAGTATTTCGTACATTTGTTGTTGTTAAAAATTAAAAGAATTGTACGAGTTGTTATTTGTCGTTTACAATCTTACATATAAGAGTTCCGAATTATAAAATGAAAATTCATTTTTGTTAATTGTATTACGATTCCAATGTTATAGATAATTTCTTAAATTAATTATTACAAATTCTTTTTATTTTTAGTACAAAATCGAACATATCTGTTAAGTCAGTAAGTATATTGAAGTCAAGAGATAACAACCGTAACAGGCAACAACGTAATGCATCTATTGAATGTAACAAAAGTTGTTCACAACCTGGCTCTAGCTCAAGTTCTACACATACCAGCTGTAGCGCAAGTTCTTCACATAGTTCAATATCACAATTGCATTCCAGTCCAACCTGTAGCACTCAGTTGCGACAAAATGATACATTCGATGACATCGATATTTAATTTGTGGAAGAATGTGATTTACAAGAATCGAATCAAATAAAAAACATGTTATCTGGCAATCTTACAGGTATTAAATAGCTGCATATACATTAAATTATTGTTTGTCAGTTTTTAATATAAAATAATTTACGAAATATTGTATTTTAGAGAATCATAATAGATCAAGCACAGACTGCAATTCTATCTCCACCTATAAACATTCCACAAAGAGACACATCATTCGGACACCATCTCCGGATGATTCCTATCGAAAAAAGAACATACCTTATTAAGTTAAACTTTGAAAGTTTACGAAAGGTAGAGCATTCAACCACACGCAAGATAGATAATGATAGCGAATATATATGTCATATAATTTAATTAAATCTTTCGTTACATAATACACCAAACGTTTCGGCCAACGAATTATCAAATCAATGTTTCAACGAGTCTGTACACAACAGAGAACACAGTGCCTTATCGAAATATTAAATATTTTAAAGAATTACGAAAATAAAAAATAAGTTTTATTTTATTATTGACTTTAAATTAGAGTCATCTTCAGTTTTCCAGAGTTGCACAGTATTAAAGTATCAGTATTAAAGTATCAATACATATATAATTTATGACCAAAGTTTAGTTGACATATAAATTAACAAATAATTAGCAAATAAGGGCGACTGTTACCAACGCCGATTTACTTAATCAACGAATATAGATGAACGTGATTGTAAATTCTCAAATCTCGTTCATCCATGAAGAACTTAATTGGAAAAGGAAATTGAGTAATTTGCGTCAATATTCACATAATAATTAGTCATAACATAACAAGATGAACACACTTACTAAATTATAACATTGGAATCGTAATACAATTAACAAAAATGAATTTTCATTTTATAATTCGGAACTCTTATATGTAAGATTGTAAACGACAAATAACAACTCGTACAATTCTTTTAATTTTTAACAACAACAAATGTACGAAATACTTGTAGATTTATATTTGTATCATGGTTGAATTGTACGCAACCACTGATGATGGCCACATTTAAGGCCGAAACGTTTGGTGTATTATGTAACGAAAGATTTAATTAAATTATATGACATATATATTCGCTATCATTATCTATCTTGCGTGTGGTTGAATGATCTACCTTTGTTTTTCGTTTATTTTGAAACCACGTATGAACATGTATTTGTTTTTCAAAGTTTATACTTAAAAAATACTTTGTATTAGGAAAAATGGTTTTTTTTTTACACTTTAATCGCATAACTTTTCACGAAGTTTCACGCAGCAATGATATTACCCTCGAATTTTGGAACACTCCAAATGTATATATGTATAAACGTGCGCGCGCGCGTGTGTTTAATGCTGTCATTAATTATTTAAACGGGACACTAATATAAAGATGAAAATCTCGGTAAGTATAAAAATATATAGGTATATAGCGTTACAATTATTTAAATTGTAAAGATGTATGCGGGCGAAGGGATGGATCCGGTAATAAATTAGTGCCTGAAGTATTTCTTCGTAAATTTAAAAGACGACCCTCTTGCTCTGAACTACAATTATATGAGATATATATATATATATGTATGTATATGCAACAATCAAATTTTTTCATGTTTTGTCACTTGTTGGCAAATAACATTGCTTTTGCGACATACCGGTTTATCAGATTCTCATTGCTGTTTTCCTTTACAAACGTTACCAATCCGTATGAGTTATGTTTATCCAATGTCCCATTATAAACTAGTAAGTCATCTACTAATATCTACAAAATATAAATATTATTTTAATACAATGAATTCGAAAACAAATTAGAGAATTTGTTTTCGTGATACTTGTGTAAAGTTAATTCGTTTCTCTTACTGCAAATTCTTTAACTCTCCTTTGTGAGGTTTTTCCATAATTCCAGATTTTGATCATTGATACCATAATGGGATGATAAAATATTAAATATACGCGATTTGTCTAAGAAACGCATTAGGAATGTTAAATAGAAATTGATCGACGATTATCTTGTACATCTCACTTTCGCTTACTTGTCCAGGAAGTATTGGAGCTAGCCAGGCATGCCGCCCATCTTGAGTATCATTTATCCCATCGATAAGTTTGTCCGGTGTACGAATATCGTTATCTATTCCTTCTATTATATTGACGCTTTCGGGAAATGCGGCTACATCTAGCAAAAGACGATCGGTATTAATCATGCAGGTTTAACGATAAGTATCAAATACAATTACTAATTATAATTAGAAATACTCTTTTATTTTTTCTGTTATCAATTTTCTTGTTTTTCTACTTTAAAGAAAAGAAATTGTATAAAATTAAATTTGTAATTGAATCTCTCGCAGAATTTTGTAGGTATAAACTGAACGTACTATCTGCAGTTAATTTGATTTCGTTTCCATAATTATCATATAGCTGTATTCCATTGAGGCCAACATAGTACGAGTCTCCCCATGTAGAGAAAATTATTATTTGATAAACGAATCCGTGTGGCATCGATGGAGCTTCGTAGTTGGAATCGAAAGACTCTAGTTCTAAAAAGTTGTATGTGCGTATGATGGACATTTTTTATACCTATATACATACATATACACACGCACACTTATGTATCTTGCCTGCTTTACATGCCGTCTCTGAATGACATGTACCTTCGAGTGATCTTGTAATTGGATCGATGATTTGATTCGAAGATTGCTCTCGATTAGGTGGATTAAGGAAACTAATTTCTTGGACAAAATCATAATGACAAGATCCTGGCGCGCGTCTCAATAGGAAGCTATCATCAGAATTCTCGTCATGCAACTGTTTACCGTCTAATTTAATTAGTAACTGTTTCACCTGTGCAAAGCAGAAAATGTCTTTAATTGGTCGTTGCGATCGATAAATTCTCTTGTTTATTGAGCAATGCATTAAATTATTTGCGTTCTTACACCACAATAAGACAACTCCAAAGATGCATTGTAATTCCAAATTCGAATTCCCGTTAGGTACACATCTGTATCGAAAGTAACGGTTATCGTAATTCTCTTATTTAATGTTAAATCCGCTAACCACATATAATCCATTTCGGTTGTAACATTGTGCCCGTCAATTAATCTCATTAAATGCATATCAGCCGCGTTACAATGCAAGTTGGCATTTACTAACGGGATTGTTATACCTTGATCCCCGATTAATTCTACGCCGGTAAGTCCTACAAGAAAATCCGAAAGAAAGATTCGGATACGACATATTGATTAGAGATTATAATGCTGTTTGACTTATTTACTCAATTTACGTAATTTACGTTACTTACCAACCAAATGCTGTAAACCCCAATTAGAAAGGATAATTAACTGAATCTCTCTGCAAGATAGAGGAGTAAGAATGCAGGTTTCGTCAATTTTGCTATCAGTATACGCGTTGGGAGAATTTTCAATAGATTCGTCACTATTACGTCTCGCTGAAGCAATCTAAAAAGATTACCATTATTAAGTATATCTTATTACATGCGTGTTGTATGTACATATCGTCATTAAATAAAAATATCTCGATGCAACGACCGCAGCTCTCTTACGTCATTGGTCATCGTTGCCGTTATTGGGCGAATTATTTCTTTCTCTTCACAATCTGATGTCCCATTATTGAATTCTATGAATGTATTATCATATTTTGATATCAATTCCAGAATATTTTCGTCCGTCGTAAATAATATAGTCTACATCAATCAATATTTTTGTGCATTACGTATAAAATTTACTTTTCTTTCAAAATTTATTATCATGTACGATTATATGTATGAATAAGCGTACTACCGTATAATTAATTTATAATAGATCACGTTAATGTTTCTATAAAATAGAAAGCTTTTTACATAAAACTTCTTACATCTCCAAAAGAATCAAGGCTACCCATATCATCTCCTGAAGCTTTAGCAATTTCTCCGTAAAAAATGATAATATCGTTCAATTTGATAATAACATCTTTGGCTCCTCGAAAGGAATGTATTCTGGATTTATTGTAATTCTGAAAGAAGGAAAGGAAGTAATTTTTTTTTAATTCAAGTGTGCCGATTTACACCCGCGCTGCACATGCTCCACATTATACTTATTCTACTTCTATATAGTTACAGATTTTATTTTTTATGATTGACAAAAAATAGATAAGAAATCCTACCCATATTCTGATCATTGCTATAGTAATCGTGAATTCAAATATCATGTAAACATAATGATGGTCACCATTTGAATAAGGTGTTAGCCATAAATTTGCATCGTCTCTCGTTCGATTGATACCATTAATTAAATTATTTATTATATAAGGATTATGATCATTGTTCAGTGATTGATTAACGCTTGTCGTCTGTGCACGTATCTCTTTTATTTTCGCTGGTTCTCCAGTATTTGAAAAAATTTCAATACCATTCAGGCCTACGTAATGTTTGTCGCCCCAGGTAGAAATAATATCAATGACTAACGAATCTCCGGATGGTAGTTCAGGAATAATAAAATTTCTGTATAGTTTATCTAAAAATAATATATAAACTTAATTATATTTCGTATTTGCATATTATTATACAAATATGTGGAAGATTGCAACGCGTTGAATGCCATATACGACTGCTAGTGTGATCGGCCCGTTATCGAAAAATCTTTAAAGCTTTAATTTAAATCTTATAAAAAGTAAATGTTGCTAGTATAAAATTTTAAATGACGCAAATAAATTAAAAAATAAATGTAGAGTAAAAGATGCGCGCTATTCAACACAATACTCTCATTAAGGATATACCGGGATGTATGCGTACATACGTCAGTACTGTTTACTTATTCGTATTATTTATAGATTATAGAATACATTTCATCCAATATATGCTTTTGATAATGATCATTCTTTTTCTTTAGTGCGAGTACAGTAAGAATAATAAGACACAAAGAAAAAGCTCGTTAGGCAAACAACGCGTTAATCCGTGTTTCTATCATATATATAAGACGTATTATATGTGTAAGCTTTCAAGGTAGACATCAACCTATTCGAAGAGAATAACAAATGATTTAACAATAGAATTGTTTGACATAAGGCGGAGAGATTTCAAGATTTCTTGATATTGACCAGATAATAATTTCGGATTTCCTTCATTCTGTATACTAAATGTGGAACCGTTAAGATAATTGTCATCTGACAAATGTAATCGAGTATCTGCACAATTCGAAACATTTGATAATCGATGTTCAAAGTAAGATTCCTCGTCGCTAGTTTTATTGTCGCTATAATTTCCGGATGCTATGCCATGCTTTTCCATCTGTTTTTTTTCCAAATATGCATCCAATCCATGAAAATTATTCTTCGTACGATGCTTTGCATTCACAACGGCAGAACAAGCGCGTGTTTTTCGTTTAACTTGTACTTGTTCGTTCTTTGGTGTATTCGGCAGTGATTTGCTTGTGGGTGTTTGTAACTTAATATTAGCATCGATATAAAGATGGCTTAAGTTTGATTGATAGCTACTAGGTTCATTGTTTCTATAAAGCAAAATATCACTTTATGTATCCGTGAAAAAAACGAGCTGTTACAAATATATATACCATATATAGATAGATAGATATCTTACGTATCTTCATCTTCTTTCTTGATAGTGATCTTTTTAAAATGATGCTGGTCATCGATTAATAAAAATGTTTCCATTTTTAGTGATTTGGTATCGTTACTTACATTAATCCTTTCTATATTGCTGATATAAAGGATAAAAGATGAAAATAAAAAAAAGTATGTGTGGAAAATGTGATGCCATATTTATATTTTTAAAAAGGTAAAAAGTAATTATAATATGCGAAATAATGCATACTCAGTCATCTCCAGCAACCACGATGGCATTTTAAGCGCGTTAGCAGTCAAGGATGCAGTTTTATTCTCCGTCTTATCAGACGTAACATTATCCATGCTTTATTTTCTTGTTTTACCACTGATATACGTCACTTTTATGATGACGACTCGCCAAATTGAATCACGGGTAATCTATGTATTACTTTATCGAAAAAATGTCAATTGCAATTTTTTCATTTTTAAAAACGTACACATATTAAATTTCATGATTGTACGTAGCACAGATTCTAGACTGCTCAACTAATTGTTCAAGACCGATAATGACCGGTCAGAAATACTTATCCATTGTCGGCTCGTTCGATTCTGGCTTTGTTTGCTACTATCACTATGGAAACTCTTCCGAATAGACACCCCTATATATATGCAATTTTATATTATACTATTGTAAGTATAATGATTATACTTATATACATATAATATGTGCGCACGCACGTTATCATTTTTATACTGTGATAATATAGACCAGGTTTGCTAAGTAAAAAGTAATTTTTGACCAATATATGTTTTATTTCTCATTAGATATTATATTCATTGTCAAGAAGTATATATACGTACAAGGTCGAATAATATGTAAAAGCGTAGGACACAACGTGATTCCTTATAAAGAAATAAAAAATATATATATATATATATTTAGAATAAAATTTTCGATCTGCTCAGTTTTCGAGAAAATTGAGTTTGAAAATCCGCTGCGTATGTATGCTGTTACGGCTAAGCTACGGTTCGTCGAGCGAGATATAAAATTTTGTTCGCTAACAATTTTCTTTATTTGTATTTTTCTTTAAACCTAATAGAGAGTTTTTAGATTCCGTGTGAACGTTGTTTACGAACACGATACTGCGCGTTACACATCGCTCGACGAATTGTAGCTTAACACCATATTTTACGCAGCGATTTTATCGATTTATATAATTTAATTGTAAGCAGAAAATCAAAAATTTTATTCTGTATACATATTTTTCTACAAGATATCACGTCGTTTCCGCTTTTACATGTTATTCGATCGGACCTTGCATATATCAATGACAGAATGTTACATATTACTCACGATACTTTGGTCCACGAAGTATACAACAACAAAAATAGACAGGGAATAACTTGTAACTGATATATACATATAATCATTTTGTACTTTGCTCCTTGCGATATCACACGGTACATATATACATTGCAAATCAATATTCTTATTACATCAAGACTTTCGTGATATTTCACATTGTCAATACTGTACATTATTCTATATACATACCTACGTACGTACGTCTATTTGCGCGTGCGCTCGCGCGTGATACACAGTGGTCCCAAGTTAAACTGTCAAACTTAAAACATAAATTTAATACCTCAAAACAAATAAAGTTTCCTATGGAAGTTTATTCACAAACATTTCGTTTAAGAGACATTGATTTCTTAAGTTACAGAATTATAGGAATAAATAATGTGGAAATCATCTGTATCTATCTCCTTTATTTTACAACAATCAAAATGTAATTAATAAATGTTTTGTTCAAAATGATGGCTTCAAGCCTTAAGAGATAAGCGCATTGCATCTCTCTTTTATCAAAGAAAAAATGAGTGACAGACATCGTGTATCTGTAATTTCTTCGTACCCATTATCCTCCGTTTTAATGATTGAAGCTAATTAGCGTACACTTTTTGCTTCAGAACAAAACAAAATAACAGATATTTCGATATCATTCATTCCTATAGTTCAATAACCGAAGAAGTCAATATCAGCATTTGTGAGCAAACTTTCAGAGGAAAATTTTGTTTGTTTTAAGTGCAAGTTTTTACATTTCCCCCCATAAACCGGGAACATACATGCATACATACATACATTGTATCTGTATGTATGGACACGCGCGCGCGCGCGCACATATGATATACGTACGTATAAATATTGTCTATTACTATGTATATTAATTTTAATACATAATTAACACGCACGCACGCACACATGCGCGCGCGCACGTGTATATGGAAATACAAATAGATGTTTTGTAACATACATTTTGATACAACATATCATAATTTGACCGTTACAATAAGTACCATAGTTGTTATATAAACCTATATAATTTTGTTCAATTATATATACCCAATAATGTTACAAATAAGGCCATTGCTCAACATATCATGCTTCAAAACATGCTCTATAATTTCAGTAAAGTACACTATACAATATTTTTCCTTTTTTTTTGACTACCTATTAAAATGTTAACGAAATTAGTAGAGTACCATCCAAATAATATATTCACTTGTTTCTCTTTCAAAAAGTATTAATAGTTGATTGGAAATATCCTAAGACATATGCGAGTTTACATTTAATTTTGGCACAATATATCTGCAAATAGAAAGACACTTCTAGCAGAAAGTAAACATACATATTCAGTCAACTTGATTTCCATTCATCTAAGGTAAAACTTGGCATTAATACTTTGTAAAGATTCTAATATAGAAGCTTTTATCAAACTTATATAGTATAAAACAAAATAAAATATTTCTCCCAAAAATATTCCATGTATATTTGGAAAAGTACAGACATGGTAAAATTTTCTTTCTTAATAATTATTCACGAGTGATGTCGAAATATTAAGTTTGATACTAAATTGAATAGGAATGATACAATATTTGCTATAAATGTATATTCGAACTCGTCATGTAATTAGTAATAACTGTGTTACATTAATATCTCTATTAATGTAATATCAGATTTTTTGCTTTGATATATAACACATTCATAATACAATATATGAATGAAGTCTTATATGGCCGTCAGGTACTTAAAAATCTTCCTTTTTTTTCTTTTTAATACATACATAATTCACTACGCTTTTTTTACGTTTATAGCATTTATATACATTATATGTATGTACAAGGTTTCTATTTACTGAAAGAGAAAGAGAGAGAAATTCGAAATAATTACAAGAAGACGTCTGGGATTGATCAGCACAAACATACGCAAATCATGATTAAAAAATAAATTTGTTTTCATCAAAAATTTGAAAATATATAGACATGAATCAAAGATATCCCTCTATATACCATAAATTTAAAATATTTACCCTTCAAAACTGCTACATTTTAGTTAGAACATTTAGAAAAAACATATTGTAGAAAACAGTATACAATTCTTACAATTCTATATGAGGCTTCAGTATATTAGATAACTGTGGCACGCTGGCAGATGGTCCAAGAATATTCGTCGAGTCTGTTTCAGGAAATACATGGTTCAGAATCGCATAGTAATGAAATCCAGCCGCCGCAGCAACGAAAAGATGCCAAATTGCATGCGCACAGGGTATACGACCATCCGATTTGAAAAATACTAAGCCAAGAACATACATCAGCCCACCCAGTTTCAATTCCGTAATATTGTAATAATTATACTGTAAAAATATTATATTAACAGTTAATTAATCGAGATATCATTAAGATTACTTTAAACCATATGAAGTTATATAAAATATACTTTGCTTGAGCAAACATATTTTTTTTCTCATATTTATTCTTCTCTTCTGAGAAGTGAGAAAATGAAATTCAATATGAGCAATCTAAATACAATGTTACTTTACTTACAACATTAAGGATCGCAACGCTAGGTCCAATACCCATAACCACATAGAAAATAGTTTCGAGCATCTTGTATCTCTCGTGAAAGATCTGCTGATAGAGGATACCCATTATAGCCATGATCCAAACGACATATCGCATCGCAAATAAAAGCTCATCGTCTGAGAAGTGTTCTATATTTAACCATGGAAAGTAACTGGCTGCTATAAAGATGTAAATCATAGCGCGATCGCAACGATGCAACGTATCTTTTAGTTGTCTAAAATATTATGTGCAATGAATTACTCAAAGAATTAGAAAGAAAGAAGAATTAATAGATATAAACTATGATTAAATAATTGTACCTGTTATGATTGCAATAGTGCACACTGTGGAAAAAAGTCGATACTGCAAAGACAAGGATCAAGGAAGTGCCGTATACGCAAGCAGAAACGAACTGTGCCCATGTTGATGAACGCCGTATAAGCTCGATACCACCAATTACCGAAGGTACAACCCATATTCCATGAGTTGCCACATTTGCCATATGTTCGATGGATGTAGGAGTATATGCCTCATTTGTGCATGCTCTCGGATTCATCCACTTTATCCTGCAAACCAATTCACAATTGCATATTTTGTTCTTTTTCCCACACTTGCTTTTTTAATTGTAAAGTTTACTAAATTAATTTTCATAAAATTGTATTTAAATTATATTGAAAAAAATAATAGAATTTTACATATATCCTCTTTAATATGATACAATTATATTTTACAGTTATAAAGTACTATAAAAGACATAATGTTAAAGCCAAAAATAAAATGCTCCATAACGATTTGTTTTATCACATTTGTACGTATACAATATATTTTGCTGGTCAACATTAACGCTATAGAAAATTGTTATATAAAATGTTATATAAAAAAAACATGCTCAATTGTTATATAAAATGAAAGAAAGTTAGTGAAGATTAGTGAAGATTATACAAGAGGAAATGCAGTCGAGTCCGTACAAAGAAGATAATGAAATTAGGGAATTCTGCAATATAGTATACTAACGTAAATGGAGGCGACTTGGGACAGGATGTATTTTTGTTAAATTTAATCGTGATATTAATCAATAAATCTTTAAAGAAAATTCAATTTTAAATTTTCTTTAGTGATCTCATGGATGAATACTTACCACACTGAATTTAATAAAAGACACTCTGTCCCAAGTCATCTATGTCAAATCATCATTTGTGGTACATTAGGTTTAGATATATACATAGTATATGGTATAGTAGTGCAGTAATAGATTAAAGGCATAAGAAATTAAAGATTAATGCTCATTTCCACCAATGCAGATTAACTTTAATCTCGGTTCAATTTACTCTTGGTCTTTTTTTACTTATAAAAATTAGAAAAAGATAAACAGTAAGTTAAACCGAGATTAAAGTTAATCTTTATTGGTGGAAATTAAAGTAAATGATTATACTACATTGTAATACATTTTTGTGATATAAAGCTTGTTTTGAGAATCTTATAAGCATTACATGTCAAAGTACATGCATATCATGAAAAAAAGCATATATATATATATATATTATATATTTTTTGAGACACACGAGTCATTATATAACTGCTATAAGATACCTGCTTGTTCAATTACTTTTAAGAGAAAAGTATAATCCATGCTACAGCATATTAGGATTTCTTTTCGCATGTCCATATCGGTATAATGGTCTCTAGAGTATGTTGCCTGAAGATATCGATCTTGTGTTATCCTACGAGCAGTGCTAGTGCATTCCGTTAAAATTGGTACATTACCTTAAGATTTTATTACGTGCATAATCACTCTTAAGCTCAAGTAATACAATAGGATTGCAAGGTTAATAGGAAAAAATGAATGGAATTACATATTAAATAATATTAAAGTGCATATCTGATATTTTTTTTTTGGAATGTATTGTAAAATATAACTTGGTTTTTTTTTTTTAAATGTATCTATTCTATACAGTAAAGAAGACAATTCTCAATTAGTTTAGCTATGGAAAAACATGCGTATAACATACATTCATATATCAGCTACCGTTTACTAACCATACTGTAACTGGGAACTGGGCTGGGACTTGGCAAGACTTAGCTAGTAGTAAAGTATCGTGCTCACAGCTTTGATTAATAATATTACAACAACTGCATATTGTCCATTGTCAGATCTCTCATATAAAAGACACTCAATTAATACCTAATGTATAACCAACTGTTTGATAATACATTTATTCATCGATTCATGCATGGTTATAAATTACTTTGCATAAACAGATGCTACATGCCAAACGCCCAGAGCTGAATTCCAAGGATGCAAAAATGCAAAACTATAAGAACAAAGATTAAATCAGAGCGGAACAGAGAGTTTACCTAAGATAATAAGTTAGCAAACATTGAAAGAAACTTAAGTCAGTGGCACACAATGCTTGTTTTCCTGCTGGATCGCAAGCTGGATCAGATTCTTGCCATCGAATTGGCTGCAATACTGGTACTGTCAGCACTGCAGCTAATACGGTGGCAAGATTCTAATCCAGCAGGAAAACAAATATCGTATGCCACTGGCTTTAATTCTCTCTTTTATATTGAAAATAACGCGAATCAAACTTAAAACATACGTATAGACGTTGACACGTATTGATTGAATGTTTATACAGACAGCTCATCAGAATGACGATTTTTAAAACATTGGCTTTATAACATTCTCACATACACAGTTATCTATAATATTCCGTATTCAATCTGTATTTTGCACATCTTACTCTTTGATCCGTTGCAGTTGCAGGAAATTTTTTATGGGTGCTGTAATGACTTGATGAAGGCAGGTCCAAGTACCGTCCATGATGTTAGGTAAATACCTAGTGTAAAACTTGAACGATGATACAATGATAAGAGTATTTATCGATATCCTGACTGATCTTGACGGATATCCCCCAATGACGGGTTTCTTGGATAGTAATGTAGTTAACGGCGGCGTAACAACTGCCGGGCAAGCTGCGTCTTCCATCGCATATTGATTGACTCGTAATAACTTAAACTCGACTGACTCGACATAGCAAGTAGACGAGCCGTCTTCGTCAATTTGTGTCTCCTGTTTCGGAACAAACTAATTTCCACTAATTTCGTCGCGTTCAACAGCTCTGACGAAGTAGACACCAAAAGATGCACGATAAACACGTCTGACAAATACCAGACAATACTGATTATTAGTAACAAGATTTAACGACTGTTGCGAGGTTTGCGACTTCTCGAGTTGTAGACGAGACGAGGACAGGCAAGGGGAATGCGAGGGGAATGCGATAGCGCCAATGCTTTCCACCCACTCTTATGAACATTAACACAAGATTGGTAATTATACAATACAACGCCTCAAAAATCAGTGAAATTAAGCTTATTCGATGCATTATTGAATAAAATAAAAAATCTATGACAAAAAAAAAAGCGTCAATCTGCTCCGCGAGGTACTAATCGTTAAAATTGACCATTAGGGTGCAAACCATGGTGGAAGTATAATGGTGTGCTCAGAACTCGTAAACCACGCCCCTTTTCAACGCGGTTGTCACCGAAAAACATAGGGCGGCCAACTTAGAAAGGTTGGCAGTACTGAACTAGTAGTGTCTCTTTTATGCATGCGCCGTGGAGCATCTATCTCAGTCTGTCTTTAGCCGTCTCCTGAAAGAAACGTGCAGGCCTGTTATTTTGAAATTAAAGTGAAAATTTGAAGTAAAATGGTGCGGTGTATTGTTAAAGCGTGTAAGAACACCAACATAACGTGTACTCCGGAGGAAGTAAGCTTCCACAAGTTGCCGAATAATGCCATTATGCGTGAAGGGTGGCTTAAAAACATAGGAGGAAGTGTAATTCCATCCAATACTCTAAATGGTAAGTGTTGATAATAGTAATATTTAATAACTTTAAGTCAAATTTATGTCAATGTTTATTTTTACTTCGATTTTGTTGAAACATTATAATATTGTCTTCTTCTGCTACTTTTTTTGAGACTCCAAAAATATACATTTTACTCGTATGCACATTGAGTAAAATTAATATAGACAATTTATGTAAAATCTGTAAAGTGTTTTTCTTAATAATGTCTATTACTTATATTAAATTAACTACTAAAACTATCTGAAATATTGGAGTCTACATTCGGCAATGGAAATACAGCTAGT